CCGACCCCAAGCGAAACCGACTGCTCAGTCTAAACAACGCAGTACTTCGGCTTCTTGTTATGGACGAGCTTCCGTGGACCTGGCTGAGTCCTGTAGTTACCAAGGTAGCAGTGCAGAGGTAACGCCTACCAATACAACACTGTACCGGCTGCTCTCAACTCACATAAAACCTACTCACATAAATCCGGATTTACGGCAAAAAGGCCATGGAAGCGCTAATGCTAACAGCGATATACACTGAAAATATATAAAAATTGAATCTTGTAATTTATTTTAATTTAAATTTCTTTAGTACATATTACTCATGCATTTTTTGCTCATATGTTTTTTATATATATAAAAGATAACATGTTTAAAATATAAATTTGAAATTGTTCATTCACAATATAATAGCCAATGATATTTAAAATGATGCTAAGTTCAGTTAAATAATTTTCAGTACAGTATTACACCTGAGCAATTCATCAGCCACATATTTGCCATTTTGTGAAGGCGAACAGTATTTTATTACTTGGAATTCTGGGATTTTCTGTCATGCTTCCAGATCTTGATAGTTTCAAATGGTTTTAGATCCAAATAGACCATTAATTCCTCTAAAATCTCTTTGTTATGTTTGAATACTATAGAAGGAACCTACTCAATGAGCTGTCTTCGCCTGGACATTGCATGTAAGCAACCTGTATTTGAAAATGTCTCTTTCAGCATGTTGCGCTGTGACAAAGGGAGCAGCCAGTGAAGAACAATTTAATTTTTATTTTATTACAATTTGTAAGAAGGATGGGATACAGTTGGGGTGAATATAACACAATAGGAAATACTAATTCTGAATTGACATATTGTGACTGAACAGGGCAACTGATTGAATGGGAGGATATAATGGGTCATAATGATGTCTGAGTTATGGGGACAGAGAAAGCAAATAGGTCGAATCAAAATGAGTAAACCCAGTTTTCCTGACTCTGCTAACTGGCATGAGTCTCACCTTGGTAAGGATTATTTTTGAGGGAAACTGGAGATAGTAGTTGACTCTGTTCTGCTGCATTGCGTGAGAGTCCTATCCGATATACATCAACAACCAAATGAGCTTTGGCCTTACCCATGCACATTATTCCTGGTCTTATTTGGAATGCAAATAAGAATACAAAAGAGAGCATACAAGCCTTCCTGTTTCTGCTCTTCTTCTCCAGCTCACTAAGAGTAGGCCTTTCTCCGGCGGCAACCTGACGAAAAGCCAGCATGTGCACACATCTAGTTTGGGGCTATGAAAATCAAACGACAGAGTGCATGAATCTTGAGCCAAACCTCGTAATGGCTAACTGACGACTGCCTGGCCTTTATTAGCCTCCATCACACTGATTTTGGCTGCACACAGCAAAATCCCCTCATCTTTGTTCAGAGTAGCCAATGTGTTCAGCGTACCTACAAACAGAATTCCAGATTCCACCAGATTTCCAATATCATGTTAAAAGGCTTAAAAGGCTTCCTAATTTCTGTGTTTTTAGAGAAAAGCAGCTGGATTTATGGATTATTAGCAGCTAAAATGACCCCTGCATGAATGTGATTTAATTTGTCAATTGTTTCCGTTTTTCTGCATCATTAGTTTGAGGTTCTCCTTTGTGTAATTGCATGATTTCAATTCAGTTACAGAATACTTAAGATTTCTTATGTGATCAATATAAGAGATAAAGCACTCAATTTAACTTAAGGGTGACCAGCTTCTCTGTAGATCAGCATAGATATTTCAAGATTCAGGATTCTTTAATTGTCACATACATAGTTATACAAAGTTACAACACACAGTGAAATACGTCCTGAACTGCTCTTTTGTAGACTGTGCAAATTTAAAACTCCAATTATGCTAAAGTTAAAGTGCAAAAAAAGCTAAAATACAAGCAAAGTATATTCAAAATGAACAGTACCACAGACATAATTGACATAAAAGACATAATATGACATAAAAAGTGAGCAGTGTAACAGTGTGGATATGGTGAGGGGTACATGAGCACAATGTACTTCAGGGTGTGAGGAGCAATGGCATGTCCAGGTTCAGAAACCTTATGGCCTGGGGGTAGAAACTCCTCCTAAGCCTCCCAGTCCTGGCCATGATGTTCCCGAGTCTCTTTCCTGATTTCAGAAGCTGAAACAGGCTGTTGTTGGGGTGGGATGTGTCCTTTAGGATCCTGAAGGTTCTTCTCCTACATCCCTTGATGTAAATGTCCTGAGGAGATGGAAGGGCCGACCTGCAGCAGCGTTCTGCTGCACGGGTCACCCTCTGGAGGGCTTTGCGGTCCTGAACACAGCTATTCCCGAACCAGGAAGTAATGTTCTGAGTCGGGATGCTCTCCACAGCGCCTGAGTAGAAAGTCTGAAGGACCGTTGGAGAGACCCTGAACTTCCTCAGCTGTCGAAGGTGGTACAGGCGCGGCCCTTTTTGGACTGGACTTGAATGTGAACAGTCCACGTCAGGTCCTCAGAAATGTGGACCCCCAGATATTTAAAACTCCTCACCCTCTCCACAGGAGATCCGTTGATGATGAGGGGCGTGTAGGCTCTCTGCTACCTCCTACTGAAGTCCACCACCAGCTCCTTTGTCTTGTAATTTACCACTGGATATGTGTTTCCCCTAAAGAGTAACAAACCTAAACAATTACACTGACATCTGGGCTTGACCTTGAACTAGCACTTGTAGGACGAGCTAGCGTAGAACCCTAATCCCTTCCGGAGATCTTTATTCAAATATTCTGGGAGACGTGTTCCTGTTTTTACACTCAAATTTACTGGCAGGGAGCTCACAGCAGTCCATGACAGGCACGTCTTGCAAAATGCGACTAATTTCAAAATGAGTAGCTGGAATTGTGCGTAGACAGAGTTGTTCATCTGTGACACAGTGTGGATTTTATTTTGTGCAATGTGAGACTGTGGGCAGTTCTGAAGGTGTGACTGCTCCCCATGATCAAGTATTTCAATGAATTAGTTTCCCACAGGACAAACATCAAGGTAGGTTTACACAGACTAAAACCAAACAACATATAATTCATATAAATATAATCTCTATGAATATAATCTATTTGAAAAATGTATTTCTTTTTACATTTCTTTGATGTATCAAGAAGCAATTCCCTGAAATATAAATTATTCTTTTTAGTTTTTTTGAACATATTTCCAGTATAGCTTTCCTTTCCCAATGGGTAGAAAATGTCTTACATAAAGAGCTTCATATATTGGATACCCTCAGACACATCGTCTTCAAACTGTTGAAAAGCAGGTCAAACTACTATCAGTATCAAAACAGACAATAGTCACTAACATAACGCTGCACTCATAATTTTTTAGAAATACTAAATTTCTGTTTTCTAGACACCTCTTCTAATTTGCTTTGTTGCATCAAATGCTGTCTTTCAGTATGATTTTTATTGAAAAACATTGTTTATTTCATCCTTTCTTAGCAGTGGTTCCTGATTTCATCTAAAAGCACTTTTGTGATTTTAACAAAACTGCATGTTGAAATATACTGTCAACTACATGGTAAAAATATACTGTCAACTACATGGTAAAAATATACTGTCAACTACATGGTAAAAATATA